AACAAACACCGTCACTGAAATGCAAAAAGTCGTAACTTATAAAAAATTCAAAATTCACTTTTTGATTGATATGATGGAATTCGTCGAATTACAAATCCCTACATCGGTTTATAAAAAAAAAGTTATTAGTCACGACTTTTTCTATCTCAGTGACGATGTTTGTTACGTAATTTCGCATTTCAGGTGACCATATGCAAGTTACACTTATACAATTGCATATATGTACATACAAATTAATAATTTAATTTCCTTATGATTCGAGTAATTCTTTCATTCTATGTATGTCTTCACTCAAGATTTTTGTTTTCTGTTGGTGAAATTTTTTTTTATTTTTGTATTAATTGTTTTCTTTACAACTAAATTTGTTTAGTTTTCATATGTATTTTTAGTATATGTATGTATTTATGTATTTTTATATGTAGTATGTGTCATTCTCATATGTATAAGTTGTTAGTATGTAAATATACATATGCATATGCAATTGTGTACATGTGTGATTGTATTTGTGTATTTTTTATGTGTTGTTATACATATTTATGTATAATATGTAGGTATGTATTTTGTTTGCTTTATTTTTATAGTTTAATTACCAACACTTAAAATGGTCTTACGCGGAACTAATGTAATGTAACATTTGCAAAAAAATATTAAAAATTAGTAAGTATATAGTTATCAAAGTAACTTCAAAGAATAATGCACTTTAAGTTAAATATGATATTTTTCGGTAGCAATGCATTTAAAAATAAAAAAACTGCAAACGCGCATACATACAAATGTACAAGTATGTACGTATGTATATCGACTCATGTACATACATATCTATGTACGTATGTATGCAAACACATTTTAAAATTAAATTAACGAATGATTGCTTTTTTTAGCTAATACGATTTTTTTTTAATTATTCAATTAACTAATTATTTCATTAAAATTTATTATAAGCAGAAAACTTCTAAATACATAAAGACTTACATATATATATGAAGAGGAACAAAACGTATAATTCCTAAAATTGTATTAGCAAATAGTGCAAAAATATTTGATTTGATACAAGGCATTAGCAAACAAGTGCATCTCCACCGCCTTCTCACGACTACAACCCCCGCTTCCAGTGGCTTCTTACCAGCAATTTTATTCATGCGATTATTGCTTGCTTTTCAAAGAGAAAGAATTGTTTTACGTATAGACATATTTAGGTATTTGGCTAGGCAAATATGGAGTAGGCGACTACATTTAACAGCAGGATTTACTGGCCATTAAAAATATATATACACATTTTTGTTTCTACAAGCCGCGACTTTTTGTTGTAATACAGCACGCCAATGAAAGGGAACTAGCTTCATTAAAGAAAGCAAAATTTAAATAATTTTGTTAAATTGTGCCACAGAAAAAGCAATACTTGCCAATTAAAATTTCCTTCCTGGTCGAATATTATGAGCGGAAATTATCATCTCGTCCGCTATCAATAACATCAAGGTAGTTTAACATGGTAAACGACGATGCTGATCGGAATTTCACTAAAGCGACGTGCAAATCATCAGCGTCAGCCAAGGAAATATAATGTTAAAATAACTGAGGCAGCGTCGCTTTGACGTACGCACCCTTCTTTGGTCAACGACCGTGCAATAAATGCAGATTCCCGCGCAAGTCGGCATGCTTCTTCTGTACTATGCTTATAGGCAATTCATTACATTAACTGCATTACCATAGCCTATTTCAAATTTGTTTGCTGTTATATTTTGGCTTTTAGTCTACGCATTCTTTCAGTAAGAAACCCAATGGCAAACACATGCTTTAAGATTCTCATATAATGCCTTGAGTGTTAGCTACTTCTTACTTGCATACAGCTCGTTGCTGCTAAAGAGTTAGTTACGTATTTTTTTTAATTTTAAACCTTTAAATTGTTTTAGTGATTATATGTTCATAATACAATATGTATAACAAATACAATGTATGTTTGTTTGTTTGTGTGTATGCTACCATTTTAGTCTATATTTTTTTTGTTTGTTTGCGTATCGTATTTGCTTTTAGTTTGTAGGTAATTGGTTTAAGTGTGACCAGATAAGTGAAGATATACTTGTATTCTATATATGTATGTATATAAATTAGTACTTTAAATTCCGTCTTCTTTTGCAATAGTACATGATTGCATTTTCTTTTGCTCGCTTGTTTGTTTATTTTTTTTATATATAAATTACATATCTTATTTAAATAGTTTTTAGTTGTTAGTTATGCCAGTTTGGCTATTGGCTATTGGCTGTTAGCATAACAGATTTGACTGTCCTCTTTGATTGCCTTTCTAAGTATGAAAGTAATAATGATTGTTACATTATTTAAATTATATTACTAAATTAAATATAAGTATGTGTGTGTATGTATGTATGCATGTAGGTCCAAGCATTTCTTCATTCATTAATTGATTGATGATTCAAAATAATTGAATTAATTAATATAATTAAGTATAACTCAAATCGATTCAATAAATAATATATTTGCATTTATAATGTCCATTTATTTTAATAAATAAATCGAAATTTCTATACAGAAGCTTTCTTTTCTATGTTTTATACATACATATGTATAGACATTATAGCGTTAGCATGTAATTGAAGTCCAAATGACTTCATGCTAAACGGTTTAGTAAATAAAGTGATTTGATTCATTAATAAATTATGATAGAATTTAACATTCTTTAAAGTGAATATGTAAATCAATTATACGTGTAGGTATGAAAATGTGTATATATAGTACATGTATGTTTGTTGCGGTGGTTTTTTGTTTCTCTTATGAACGCAATATTTGTATGTATGTATGTATGCATATCGGATATGAACAGAGCAATAATTCTTACAATATTTAAATTAAGTGAAGAGCGGGAAAGCCTTTTACATCAAAACAAACTTATTTGAGAAATCTTAAAACTAAAAAATTTACTCCCAAAATTATTTACTTCATACGATTATGTATGCCAGTATTGCTAATTATCATATCATATCATAATTATACATAAAATTGTATATTTCTGCTTGAATTGTTGTAACACAGTTGTTAGTTAGTGTTTGTTTTTTAGTATTGGTATTTGCTGCATTCTTGGAGTGATCCATTTAATTTAAATGGTTCGCCGCAATTTTGCATAATCTGTTGTTATAGATCTTTGTAGCAAATAACGTTGTAACTAAGCACTGGAAGCTAAAAAATACCTGTGAAAGAAAGGAAAAAATCAACGGTAAGTCCTAGTTGCTTTAAACTTGCAAATATTACACTAAATTAATGGGCTTTTATATTATATATATATATATTTATGTATTTGAATATTTATTTAAAAAGTAACGGAAAACCTTTTTTTTATTAAACAAAAATTAAGATAGAGGACTGAAATTCATGAACAATCATGTGACCGACAAAGAAATTTTCATATGGAGCGGTAACAAAAAACATTCGTTAAGGCGGATTCAATTTTTGAAAATGTTAAATAAAAGTTATTTTTAGATTTTCAAATACAAAAGACGTACCGATAAATCTTCGTAACGCATTTTTCAAAAACCTCTATCTTTTTGTTATATGTATATGATTTCTTCACCTTTATTATTTTGAGCAAGATATACCGATAATGCTTGCTTTTTTTAAGTTTGCTCAATTTTTTTTTTGCAAAAGATAATCGGTTTCTAAAATGATGTGTGTGCTTCGTGAACATGAATATCGAGTTTTTTTCGGACTTGGGGCTTCTTTAGTTTTCGGATTTTTTTCCTCATCTGAGTTTTTTATGACCTTTCGAGAATTTCTCGGGATCTTGGTGGGGGTTTTCGCTTTTTTATAATTTTTCGGGAATTCCGTGGCACTTTACGAAATCTTTCATACTTATGTTTTGGAAACATGCTGATTCTTTTTTAAAATTTTCGGACCTTTGGGGTTTTTTCGGAGCCCTTGGAATTTATTCGTTAATTGTCAAAATTAGAAATGTGTAAAAGATAAATAGCAAAAAAAAAAACTGTCTGCTTCAAAAAAGAAAGAAAAACTCAATATTCACTTTGCATCTGTAAAAGCGTCTACCTTGCGATCTCTACATATTACCTATGCTCTATAGAACAGCCATGGGCACCGTTGGCAGAACTCCATAAGCATGTGCAAAGTTTTGCAAAAAGTTCTGCCTGCGCTGCCCATCACTGCTCTAGAAACAAGCATACAAACGTTCATATATCGCCGTTTAAAGTACAAAACCGTGTATTAATATAATGCAAAACCGCGTATGTGAGATTCCATAAATTATTTTCTAGAGAGTAAAAACACTTCAATTTCAAAATGGTTCTCTTTTTTATAAAGCAATAGCACCTCTAGTATATTTCAGGACGAATGGATAAAATTGAGCCAAGAGCTTGTGTGAGCAAATTCAATTTTTGGCAGCCAATGTCAGTTACGCGGTTTTGCAGAATGACGATATGCGGTTTTGTACTTTAAACGATGATATATGTACATATGTATTCAGTATACATATTGTAAGGGCTTACCTTAAAAATAGTTGTAGTTATTTGGCTCACAATTCCCATAGTAGATCGCAGTTTGCAGTTCGCAGACTCCTCAAAATTAGACATTTAATATTTTCATTGCTTGCATCTTGGCATGAAACTCGAATCGCTTAAATGCCAATCATGGTGAAACGAAAAAATCCCATATGTATGATGTGTTTGATTGTACTGGAGTTCTTGAAATATATGCGCACAATTGAGTGTATGTATTCACTCACACATATCATTATCGTCCAGTTTTTAATGTGTTGTGTTTTTAACGATAAACTGCATTTGTTTGATTAGATTTGATTTGATTTGGTTTCTGATGTGTTCAAGTTTTTCTTCTAATATGCAATTTGTAAGGCGTCAAACTGAATGAATTCGCTGATCAATTCGCTTGCATTTTTATGCAATTCGTATCATTCATTCTACAATATAAGTATTCTATGTTTTTATTTTGTTGTTATTCGTATTTCGTTTCATTATTAATATTTGTAGTAAAGTCATTTTCTTCTCGTAGATAAAACATTACATTATGTATAGAAATTTTGTTGAAACCATAATACATAATCAAACAGCATGAATGCTTTTTAACACTCCCCTCTACCAACGAGAGAAACACACATCACATATCGCATTTATACTTCCTCATCATCAGGTCCTTCAATTAAATCGTCCGGATCGTACATAACAATATTATCATCGTTTTCTTTTGCCTCAGGATCGTCAACTTCTTCAGCAGCTGCTGCTAACGTTCCATCTTCGGCATCACTGCCCAGTCTTCTACGCTTTTGCTTAAAATTATTGATTACGTTATTGCATGAACGCCTGCGCTGTAATGTTGGCACACTTTGGGTAGTTTCAACGACAATATCGCTATCTAGCACCTCCTCCAATTCAGTAGTATCAACCAAAGCCGCCTGTTGTTGCTTAATACGCAACTGTTCCAACTCTTCGGGTGAGCGTTTTTTGCGAAACTCGTAGACCAGTGGGAAGATATGTTCAATAGCAGCCTGCACATTAGCAACACTAGCAGCTAGAATATTTATATAAAAAATTCAAGTTCCATTATTTAATAATAAAACCAAACCGACAAATTTCAAGATATCTCACCCGTCACAGTAATACTGCCGGTGGAGAAAATTTTCAAAGTAGCCTTTGGAAAGCGCAATTTATATGTAACACCTGGATGCAATTCGGGCTCGTAACTCGCCTCTTTCTTGTACCTTTCAGAGAAGTTTAAAATTTTAATGGCCCACGGCATGCTGCATGTGCCCAGTACGTTCACTACTCGGAAATTGTGAAAACGGGCACGGAACCCAAGTTTTTCAAGGACGCGTGCATAACGGCGTGCTGCAATTTTCGCCTAAAAGTAAATGTAAAATTAATTCATGAGTGTAAAATGTAGATGAGAAGTATCCAATTATATTAGTATGTTGTTTACAAAAAATAAAAATTTAGGATTACCGTTAATTTCTTCATAAGCCAAATTAATATGGGACCACCCAGAAGATAATTTAGATAGGTATTCTTAAATTAAGCCATTCTAAGAGGCCTGCCCAAGAAGAGCTGAAAAAAGTGCTTCCTTGCATGCCTTCTATAAGGGCTTATCGCGAATGCATAAATTTATATTATTTAGCATTACAAACGAATTTCAATAAACATTGCAAAACCGCCCATCGACCAATTGCAAAACCCCCTTTCGTACGGCACTAAAATTTTACAGGAGCGAAAAAACGGTTTTTCTTTGAAGGCATTGCTTTGATAGGCAGTATTTTCTTTAGCTATTATTTTACAAATCTGTTGTTTTAATAGATTTTATGATTTTTTGGCATAAATTTCGATGCTTGGAGATCTGGGTTACCAAATTTAATTTTTGCCAAAACGGCGATTTAGGCGGTTTTGCAACTGTTCGATGGGCGGGTTTGCAAAAACATCGACGAAATACTTCAAAGATGCATGATTTTTGTAAATTAAAGAAGCAACTTTAAAAGAACTCCTCCAAAAAGCCTTCTGAAGTACGTCCTTTAAAAGCTCTTCTGGAAGGCCTTCCATGGGTAGCGAAAGAAGAAGCCCTTTAATTTGTGCCACTCCATACAAAAAAGAAAGGAGAAAAGAATATAGAGTGGAAGGCCTTTTGTCTCTCAGGAAGGCCTTTCGGAAGGGCTTTTTTAACTCCTGAAATTATCTACTGGGCACCTTTCCGATAAAAGATTTTCGAAATCGTTTCACGTGGTCCAAAGTTATGCGGTAACATACATAAAAAAAATATTCCGACGAATTGAAGTCAGTTAAAAATACATATACATATTCAATCTTACTGTAACGCACCTGTTCTTCAGATGTGGCACCTGTACAGGTGATTCGACCTGATGACCAGATGGACGCAGTCGTATAAGGTCTTCGCAGCTTCATTGTCACCATACCGTTCTCGCGACGATACTCCACATTGAGACCCTTGAGAGCAATATCACGCAGATTCAAATGACATCGCACACTGAACGAGCAAACCACGTTGTTGATGACAATGTCAATCTCCGGTTCAACCTCAGGCTCAGCAGCTTCCGTGATGGCAGTACCATCGGGTGTGGCAGCAACTGTTGTCGCAGGCAGAGATGTGGCGGGTATAGTACGAGAGTGGGCAATTACGTGTTTATGTTCCTCAGATTGTCCCTGCTGCTGAGATTGACGTTGTTGAATTTGGTTTTGGCTATGTTGTTGATGCATTTGTTGTTGGGCCTGCAACTGCAACTGTTGCTGCTTTTGCGGGAATACAGCTGCAGTCGGTAACGTTTTCACCGATAAAGTTGCCGATGTGGAAGTTGTCATAGTTCCACTCTTGTTGTTGGTGATGCTGTTGCTGTTAGGAACTAAATTGGGAACACCGTTAACTTGCGTAACAGTCGATAGATTGCGTGAAGTCGCAGCCATGTTGGCTACTGTTGTTGTTTTCGTGGCCGTCACTGTCACCGCATTGCTACTGTGAACGATGGGCTTAACTAGTTGTATCTTTTGTTGTTGTTGTTGTTTTTGCTGCTGCTGTTGCGTTTGTTGCCTAATTTGTTGCAAGGCCGAAATGTTTTGGCGCAGTGGTTGTTGTTGCAGCTTCACAGCTTGTATGGCAGGAGAATGAGAATTATGATTAATTTGAGACTTATTAGCGATAACGGCGGTCGCTGCAATATTTGTCGGTGGTTTATTCAAAATTTTAGCATGCTGCAGGCGTTGTGTAGTGTTACCAGCGATTATAGTGTTATTGGAGCGATTTATGAGTACGTGAGTAGTTCGGTTGCCAGTAGCTTTTGTGGCAACAATTGTTGATGT